AAAGAAACTGGACTTTTCAGTTTGTTTTGGCCATTTTTTTCCCTCAAAAGGTGTCAGTGGAGAAATATAAAAAAAATATCTGCAAATATCAGTTATTGAACAAAACACAAATATTAAGATCGGATATGAATATCGGCCCAAATTTTTATATTTGTGCATTCACAGCTACAACAGTATCTCATAATATTGAGGTAAAACTTTAAGTCTGTATCAGCTGTCGCATTCCAGACCACTCAGGTTTTCTGGTTCTAGTCTACTCTGCAACCAGAACCAAACACAGAGAAGCAGCGTTCAGTTTCTATCCTCCACGCGTAACATTGAGTTTCTTTAAATCAAGGCTAAAACCTCGCCTCTTTAGAGCTATAAGTGGAATCAACATATCTGATTTGAATTTGCTTGGTGATTTTGATGAAGGTATTTGATTCAATGTAATGTTTACTGCTGGTTTGAACTGCCTTGTTGCTGAAATCTGCTACAGAGATAAACTTGACTTGAATAGTGAGGACAGCTCAACACATTGATTCATGAGCGAACAGAAGAATCTGTTCATGCAACAGCCTTTTATGAGGCCGAGAAATATTTGTTCATCTTTCACAACTCCAACTATCAAAAACAAAAAGCCAAAGAAATGCAAGAGGCAGCTTTCCACTCCCACCATCTCTCCTCCCTCTCTCCCTCAGCTATGTTCTTCTTCCTAGGATTTCTTTTGTTATTCCACTTCCCGTTCTCACGAACTAACATATCAACGTCGCCAGCATACGGGAAACGCAGCAGGCTCGTTTATGGGAGATGTCTGTTCCTTTGCTCGCACTTTCATGCCCGGCTCAAGATCTACGTCAGAACAATGGGTTTCAGAAGCCCTAATACTTATCTCTCTAACTGCTTACAGACGGACGGTTTGACCCTTTTTTTCCACTTCTCACCAGATGGAACAATGTTATAGCTGAAACATGCTGTGCAAATCATGGGAATAGACCCTTTGGGGCTCAGAGTTCCCATCTTTTACTCTTCCAGCTCTGACTCACTGTCTGGGCGTACTTGCTCAGAAACATGCCACAAAGCCTTACTGTAAGAAATTGACACCATATTAGGAACAGAGCTCCACGCAGCCAACTTCAGCGGGGATGTCAGATATGCTCAGAAAAATGTTAAGAAACAAGCAACATCCACGTAATTTCCTGAAAATCCTGCAGGATGAAGCCAGGGGTGCTTCCCAGCAATGGTTGTTTGTTAAAGCTCTGTTTCTAGGAACACTTTGCTTTTTTTCAGAAGGTGGCTACATCTGAACCACGGCCAAAACGTAAACATAACCATGAGCAATGATCGCAAACGTGAATCCCAAGAAAGTCACTTGTGCTAATTCAGGAAATATGCTGCCGGTAACTTCATCACAATGAACAATTGGACAGATAAAAAGACAGGCTTGAAAGCGATTGATTCTAAAAATATCTTGGCTCCACTTCTTCCTAACAGAGAAGGAAAACTTTTAAGAAAATATGGAATTAGGCCTGTCGTGATAAACGATAAATCAATTAATTGCACAATAAATGAAACCAATCGACATCATTTTAATTATCGGCTTTATCGTCTGAATTCCTGCCGTTTTTTTTTTTCCTTTCTCTTGATGACACTGAATGAAAAAAGGCTCAACTCCGGTGCTCTCTACTGACCCTCCCTTCCTCATTTCCTTAGTGTAATGTCCAGCTCACACTACATGATTGTCGGCCCATTTTCAAAACCTGAGAGACACATTAGCTGATAGAAACTCTAGGTAACGGTTCCATCGGGTTCGATCGTGCCGTGTGGTGTCCAGCCACATGGGCACAAAATAATGGCTACAAGTCCAGTTAACTAGTTTTAAAACCAGGCATTATTCAATGCTTTACTAGAATCTACCTGTGACGCATGTGGCTAGAGTCAGCGTAAAGTTCTGACTGAATGAAAATCATTATAACCTATTTATGTCACATTAACGAAGAACAGCTGAAAACTTACCAGGTTTATCAACTGCGGTAGCAATTTGGCTCCAACTCCTCTCCTGGTCATTTCTATATTCTTTGCACGAAATGTTGAACATTAATGTTGTTTCCACATATCATCTCCGATGTCCGCTGGACTTCGGGTTGCGCCGTGTCAGCTGTTTGGGATTCCCCTCAGAAAGCACGGAGGAGAATCCGGCTTTCTGATTAGCTACCTGTCACATTCAGCGTTAAGCTCCCAGTCGGGGGAAAACCCCTGATTTAGATCGGAGCGGCCACGACGATCTACCGTAACACACCACACACTGCAGGATGATCGGTTACGAAATCACCAGCGACAATCAGAACGGCCAACGTTCTAAAATTATCGTAAGGGAAAATAGGGGCAAAAAATTGTGTAGTATGAACTACTGCATTAGGTAGTCGGATGTGCCCGTCTTCTCTATTTAAATCTAGTGATTACTGAAGGCCAGTACAGTATACAGACTTTATAATCTGCACTCTTTTGGTTGAATGCAGTATTTATTTCCCCTTTGGCTTTATGTTGTTTAGTTTTTATTCAAGTACGTTTTTTGTTAATGGAGATTGAGAATCAATTTGTTTGTTGGTTTTGGGTGTTTATCAGTTCCAGTGTTATGTGTTATTTTGAAAATAAAGTGTATCTATATATGGCAGGAAATCGCATGCATTATTAGTCATTTCCATTAAATCAGTGTCAAAAGGTCTTGAAACAATATTATCGTTTATCGCAATAATTTTTTAGACAATTAATCGCTCAGCAAAATTTGTTATTGTGACAAGCCTATATGGAATAAAGAGAGACTCTGGCTTTAAAAAAAAAAAAAATTAGCAAAATTATGACTGAAAGAAATTAATACTCAACTCTCCTGTCAATAAAAAGAAATTCCTTGCAGGGAAAAAACGCCACAACATTGATACAGCCAACTGCTTTTTATTCATGCATGTAACAGAGCAGAGCTGGTGATGAAATTTCATATTCACTCACCATCCATGGGACGTGTCGAGGGATTACCTATGTAAATTATGTATGCTGAGAGGGAGGGAGAGAGAGGTTGGTGATTGAAACGACTAATGACCACTTTAAAGCCTTGGCGGTTTGATAATATGTCTGATTAGGAATTCAATTTCATACTTTCACATCATGAATGCTGCAGTACGTATTTCTAATGCTATTGAAGCTGGCATGCATCTTGCTCATTTGAAGTTACTTTAACATTTTGTTCATTCTTCTCATAATAAAATGTAAAGGTTTCTTGTAATACATTCATATAAAAAAGTGATTTATTTATTTATTTTTTTACTTTCCAAACTGCTTAAAATCTGTATTTTATCTGCCGATATGATGGAAGAAAAACTGATGAAGTTATTTTTCAATGATTTTTAGCAGATTCCCTGTATTTTTATGTAAGATACGCCCCTAGGGAACCATAATAGTCCATACACATTATTTTATGAACAATATGCCTTTTCTTTCATCAAACTGATCTCTGGCTCGATCAACAGCATGGCATATCACTCAAGCTGAGATTTTATTTTTTTTTCTGCTTTCGCATTAAAGTTACGACTCTACCAAAAGGTAATTTGAGGAAAAAATGGTGAATATAAATGAAAGCAAACACCAACACTGCAGTAAATAACAGCCCAAACAAAACGAGAAGCTGTATGAAGCTACATCATGCATCTATAGAAACGTATGGCTTCCCTTTAGAGCATTTATTTTAGTAAGACGTCAGACTGATTGGTGCAGGCCTAGTATTAGCTGCAAATACAACTGGAAATTATTCTAGAAATTAAAGCTGCACAATATATCTAACAGCAATCATTGTTGCAATATCAGTGTGTGCAACATCACATATATCTGGCCAGCTGCACGGACTCTAATTGCCGTTAATGTCCAAACCTCGTTTACATCTTTAGGTGAGATACTACAGCTCAGAGACCAATGGGGACATTGTGTTCTCATAAAGACAGAAAAGTGTCAGGAAAATGAGGAACCACTGGACTGGAGTTCTGGATCTAAAGGCACATTTTAGATAATCGAAAGAAAACATGCGAGCATGCTGAAAGCAGAAAGTAAGCACAACAACAGCCGCTTTGGCCTTTACATGAATCATGTGTTACATAAGACAGAACGGGATGATGCTGCGCTTCGTTCGGATCAGCACCTCCCTTCTTTGCTCAGAGGCTCGTCTCTGATTGTTTTATTTCTTAATGTTGCCTTTTCTTCTTCCCATAACAACTAATCACTTAAACCAACAAAAAGAAAAGACAAACTGAGCCCCATCTATGTGTCAGGGATTCACAAAAACAATCCTTACATATCCTCACAGGCACTGTGGCTCTCAGTGGCAAGGACATCTGGCACATTTCACAAGCTTGTGATGTGTGGCCTGTGCACGTGAATGAGTGTGGACATTACATGCAAGGAGGCTGTCAGGATGGGGAATGATTCTCCAGCGCTCACAGGTCAAAGAAAGTAAACTGGGTCTTCAGTGAAGAAGTGAAACACTAAAACTGGGACTGTTAACTTCAACTTTTATACATGAAATAAATTTCCTAACATAATATTTCGAATTAAAACATAGTATTTGATCTCTTGGAATGACAAAAGAGGACCCAAGTGAATATTTAAAGCTAGTCAGATGTCCTGAATCTCTGAGTAGACAGTAAATGTTGTGTTTGAATCAAACTTCATGGTCACACTATGACCACAGGCAACGTTATCTCCCCATTTGACTTAATAGTAAAGGAAAATTGTTGTGCCTCATTGGGACAGCGAATGAATTCACCCAGCACAAGAATGAAATCCTAAGCAACCTGAATGACCCAGAGGGAGGAGAAAGATCATTTAATCTGACTGACTTGAAGGCAAGGTGAAAATCGCTCAATCAATTCACAACAGATGGTCAAAGATGGCGGTTTATTCTGCGTGTAGCATGTGGGAACACTGACAAAAAGAGAAAGAAAGAAAGTGTGTGTGTGTTTGTGGGTCTGACTTACCTGATGCATGACCATGAGGGAGCAGGATGAAGAGGAGAAGTGCAGAGGCAGCCAGTCTGTGGGCTACAGAGGAGGAGGACGGGGCTCTCGTCGGAAACGCTACCATTCCATCGCACATCTTTTCCCCCCCCTGACAGCCAGCCAGAGTCCTCTACGGCTTAACCTGTCCGAGCCACATTGACAGGAAGGGACGCGTGGGGAGGGGAAGAGGAAGAGGAAGAGCGTGGATTACCATCAACGTTCAAGCCGGGATTACATAACCAGAAGCAACAGACAGAAAGACGGGTATAATGAGAGGCGGCTACACAGATTGGTTGACAAACCAAGCGTGTCAGAGAGAACTCCATGCTTGTGGTTCAATATTTAGTTAGCCTGGTAAAACCCAGAACTTTATGGATAAGTGTATTCCTCCCATATGAGTTTTATAATCAGTGTACACTAGCAACAGCCCATCGATCCGAGTCGTCTTCTCCTCTTGCTTCAATCCCTAATCTTTGACTTGGCACAGCATCTATCTGCATAAGCCCTTAAGTACACTATGTTGGATGTGACGTAACAACAATACAGATCAGAGCCACTAATAAAGTGGCAAAAGGCAGATGGAGGCGGTGGGAAAATCTGAATGTGCATCACATTCAACAAACAAAATGCTGTTCAGAAAGTTATATTTGATTATAGCATTGTCATAACTAATCATGATTCTATCTAAAATGTATAATTCAGATAGTTTAATACTATTGCAGCAAAAAAGGAGGTAGAAATAATTAATAAATGTTCATTACAAATTCAAACAATGTTTTCAGCAGAGACTTTAAAGTGTTATGTTAAAAAGTGCTTGGTAGCATCAGTTCTGTGCACAGTGCTGCAGGCTGGTGCTGCAGGCTGGTGCTGCAGCAGAGTTTAGTGCATAAAACAAGGAAATGTTAAGACAGAAATATGGGCCATTGCTTGGTTCCTGGTATCTTTTACAGCCCTTATAAACCATTTTTATCAATCTACAAAGTTTCACTTTTGTTTTTGTTTCAATGATTATTTCAGACTTTGATTATCCATTTTCTGTACGGGTTAGTTTGAAACAAACCTGCATAGAAAATGAAGAACACAAGGCTAATTTGATTCTCCAACATGTTTCATTTAGACAGTTGGAAAGGTAATTAAGTCTGAAAATATATATATATATTTTTTTTTTCCCCCCCCAAACTGTTTTGCTTCTCCGTACTTATCCAGATGTGGAAAACACTAATTAAAGCAATGCTGGACACAAAATCAAATCTTATAAAAGCAGCAAAAAAACTGCCAACTGATAAAACCCACATGGTGAAATGAGTTGAAATCATTAAAAGCAGGATTTGGATGAAGATCCAGAAGCCACATTTTCTGAAGAACATGCATGCCAGCAGGTAAAAGGTTCTCAAGAGAGGGAAAGGAGCCCATTAGCATTCCAAAAAGCTGAAGCGTTCATGCCAACATTAATGGCATGTTTTCACTGAAGCCCCATTCCCATAGGTCATAACACCAGCTAATGCCTAGCTTTGGAGTGCAAGTGTGAAATGTTGAACTGTCATTCAGCTCTGCTTCAAAGGATCCAGCAATAACGGATATCAATCGGATCCTGATCACTCCGAGGTGAATGTGGCAACAAATCATCCAGGTGCAGAGGCTAGTTTTCACTGAAGTTGCTGAGCTTCAGGGCTGGAGGGGTGATCAAAGCGCTCCAATTCTTTACAGAAAAGTGCTACTGGATGGCTCGCGTGGAGGCTCGGAAAATGACAACAACAACTGGTGGACAAATCCAGACAGCCGGCAGCAAACACCTGCTTGACAGGGTGAATATGGCAATAAAGTAAAAAGTAACAAGCCTTCCTTGTTGCAAATAGTTGCTATGCAAAGTTCTGTGACGCAGCTTAAAGAGGATACTCTGTACTGGTACTGTGTATTAGTGTTGTCAATCAAGTCGCACATTCATAGAATCTGCAAGATTGCAATGCAATTGAGTAAAAATGCAGGACATAAATCTGGAACAACTTCCAGAAAACTGAAAAGCAGCCGAAAAACTGAGTTCATTTAAATCAAGGCTAAAAAACCAACCTGTTTAGAGTTGCCCTTGATTATTAATAACTGGAACGCTGATCAATATATTTGATGATGATTGTTCTCGATCTTTATGACTTGATCCGTAATGTTTACTTTGTTTCATAATTGTTTAAAGTGCTTTAGCACTTTAAACTGCCTTGTTGGGGTGGACATATATCATCTATCTTTTCTTTGTGATAAATTTCTTATAATATTTTGATTTGGTATTGTCATGATTAATTCCAATTATTGATGTTTACAAACCCCTAAAACTGTCCATTTTTCTCCACGGCTTGTTCAAAAAGTATCAACAATCATCAATAACTTTGAAAATATGATTAAATGCAGTTGCTGTGTGCACATTAGAGATACAAATCACACTTTTTTATGTGACTGGTGTTCCAAAGCATTACAAATGGGAAGTGTTTGTCTTTGTGGTGGTATGACTACCATGTACAAAATTATACAGTTACCAAAATAAAAAAACTACAAAAAAAACTTCCTTAGATGTCCAACTGGGGTAAAAATGTTTTACATATAGTCAAAAAACTAAAATAGTTGCATGACGAAGTGCGTGCATGACTACGGTGACAAACTTGTGGTTTCCTTCTCACAGCAGCTATTTTAGTATGATGCAGTGCCATTTATCCAATCATTTGTCTTCACATCAGAAGGTCATCTGATTCTGTAAATTTAGATTGATCATCCCCTTCCACAGAAAGATCACACAGCATCAATACCCTCGCTGCATGAGCAGGACAGAAGCATACCTGCATGTGGCGCCTGCTAGTGGGAGAGAGTGACGCAAATTAGTTTTGGCAGGACAATTTGGGTAGTGTGTTCAGCCAAAGAGCAGGCAGTCAAAAGCACCAGGAGGGACCTGATCGTGCCATCTGATGCGTCGATATTTCCTTGTTGGTCCATACTGTAATTAGACCACATTTAGGTAGTGAAAAAGCTTTGCCATTTTAGATGTTCTTTATAAACTGCATGAGAAACATCAAAGATAGAAAAGATGCACTTTGTGGCTAAAGCTAAACACACTGCTGGACTGGGCTCTTGGAAAAAGCTTAAAAGAAAGTATTGACCAGCCAGATCATCAGAAAAATCAAAACTTAAGCAGAATTATTCTGCTTTCACGTGAAACACTTATCTAATCAGTGCGAAGGCACTTTGTCCAAAATAAATAAATAAATAAATAGGTTTGCAGATCTTGAGATTTGCTGACTGGATGTTACTGGTATAAATTAATTAATATCCCAGCAAGCAGTTTCACAGGGGGGGGAAAAAACTGCATGCTTCAAGTCTGGATGTCAACCTGACCTGCAGCAGCGTTTATGTCCTGTCAGATACCGACAGCAATGCTGAACACGACGCATCATGTTAAAATGTGTCGTATTATTTTAAACGTCAACATGTTTTGTTTCATGGAGGATTTTGCATCAAGCTTTACTGCAAAGTAATCCTCAACATTAGCTGATTTAATATGTCTTAGAAATCCAGAATCTCTAAATAACACCACAACTAGTAAGATTTGAGAAAAAGGACAAAAAGAAGGGATTTCAAATAGATTTAAAAAGTATACAGCACTGCATATGGGTGCATCAGAAAACAAAAAACAACTTCCTTGTTTTATTACTAAACAAATCTCTGTGGTTAGCACTTTTAAGTATATGAAATGTAAATTAGTAACTGGATTGTGGAAAAAAAAAATCTGCCAATGTTAGCAGTTTGATTTCCAATTATATCTCTTCTATGTTCCCAGAAACTGGCATAAACTACCACAACCAGCCATGCAGGTACCCATCAAAACTGGCAGTACAAGTTTTACCGTCCCACTACGGTTTGATGTAGATCCACAGTAATTAACTAAACATTGAAAGTGTCAATCAGCAAAAGAAGAAGAAAAAAAAAAAAAACAAACCTCAGGATTTAAGAAATGGAAATTTTACAAGCCAAGACAACCGTCTGTAGTCATCCATTTGCGAGGGGAAAAAACTATGCAACTCCTCACTTCAGATAGCAGCAACACAAGCAGCCAGCCAGCCAGCAGGCTGCTACTGCAGTTTTTCAGCTTCCCGAGGCTCCTGGAATGCAAAGGGAGCCAAGGAGAGCACCAGCACAGACATGTGTCCGGGAACAGAGAGCACTCAGTGTGCCAAAGAAACAGCCGAGAGGAGGTTTCCACTCAATAGGACCCAGTGCTGCTGCTGCTGCTGCTAGAGCCTGCATAGGCCTGTGGAGGGAGCCCAGAGACAGGACTCTGCATGGCAGCAGAGAAAGGAGCCTTTGTTATGTAGTAGTATGTACTGTTAGGGCCCACAGCTACTCAGCATCCCCCCTCCAATGCTGCAAGCAAGGGACAGAAACACACAGAAAGACTAAAGAGAGACAAGAGAAAGAGGAGAAAATAACGTGGAAGAAAAGTGGGATGAATGAGGTAATGTGTCATAGCTTAAAGGTGCACCTTTTTCAACAAGCCTATATGTGCTGGAACTAAAAAAATAAAGACAAAACTTAAATCAATTCTTAATTTGCCCACAATTCACCTCTCAATAAGAGTTCAAGAAAAAATGGGACTTGCTAGTCATTGTGTAGTTCTGCTGACACGTGGAAAATAAACAGCTTTGGGTCAATTCACATTCTGCCAGTTTTTATCCCCCATTTCATACTTGTAAACAAAGACAAAAAGACAAGTTGTCTATTTACGCCTATGAGAAAGTAGCTTCTTACCCAAGATTGCCACAACTGATTGTTATTTAAAGAACTAATTACAAAGCTCAAAACAACTGGGACTGTGATGAGGACTTGAGCTTACCTTGCTATTTCAAACTTCCTAGGCATTTCTCACCCATGTGCTTAACCACTAAGCAATACCCTGCTGCTTCTGAAAGCATTTAAATGAAATCCCAAAATCAGTCATGCTAAAATACTCAAAATGCATGTAAAATGTTATAATTCATCCAATTTGCATTGACTGCGGTTCTCTTAGCCCACAATCCACAAGCCAAAAAACCCCCCACCATAACTTCATGATAGCAGATATCCATTGTGGTCACAAATCATATTTTCTTTTCAACATGAGTAGAGCGTAGAGCTTTACCTTAAACCACTGTTTTGATCAAGAGATTAGGGATGCGCTGCTATAAAACTTTTGGGTGATATCAACGCCGCTGTTATGGCCAGTAACAGATATTTATTTCATATTTAAATGCATTTATATTTACTCTCCTGAAATGGATACACAAACGGCAACAAGATGGAAATAATTAGCCAAACCAAAAACAGCAACATCTCATATAACAGCTGATTAATGGTTTTCCAACTTTCCTTTTGCATTTTTTGTACTTTTGTCCTCTCTCTGTCTTTATGCCTTATAAATCAAAGTCCTCCTTCAAAGATGCTTATAAAACTTTTATAACCACATTTGAGAACACATCTGGAATTTCAGCAAAATCTTGCTATATTGTGTCACATGGAAAGTTTGTAAGATTGTGTTCAAAGTATCTAATTTGCAGTAGTGTCTACTAAGGCTTATCAGCTTGATTCTTGGGTATCTTGTGATGTAATCAATCCAAAGACACAAAAATAGAATTGGTTGTATTTTTTGTTTAGTTTGACCTTCTAAAACTTTCCATTTTATGAAATGTTGCAGTGGAAATCCATAATTTATTACCCATGTTTTTACTATCACTATGCATTTGGAATTGAAAAACACCACTAGACAGTACCCTTAAATACTTTTACAATATAAAACCCAATACACAAGCCTCTGCTAAATCAGACAACACAACAAACTGGTATTACTGGAGGAACACTACACTTGGACCCCCGCCTTTTTGTTGTCCTCCAATGTAAACACTTCACATCTGGACTTCCCTGCTCTTTGCAATATCAAATGTCGTAACTTTCCAAACACCGGTAACAGTAAGCAAGTCATACTTAAACTGGAACAAAGGCCAGTGAGTGGGAAACGACACTACTGAAAGGTTGCCCTGTAAAAAAAAAACGAAAAAAAAAAAAAACGGGGCATCCGAGCTCGATAACAAATCTTTGCTACTGTATCAAACGTGAGTCAAAAGCAGAGTCACACGGTTCGACACGTGTAACTGTGCTTTGAGGTATTTAAACAAAGAGTGTGGTGGTGGGCTGCCAACATCACACACAGAAGTTAATGATTAGAACAAAACAATCCAACTCAAATAGCAGGACCCACATAAGAGTTCAGGCTTCATTTTACCGACTCACCTAAGATAAAGTCGACACACCTATGGCTTCCTCGTACCTTTTATTGTTCATGTGACTGGTCTAACAATACAGCAGAGCGGTCCGACCAGATTCTCTAAATGTTTACGTTCCATCTCCAAAACATTAGTTTAAGCTTTTCAATAAATATTAAAACTTAAACACGACAGACGTACGTCAAAACAGACACATTACGTCTTTAGACAAACGTTTAACGTTTACGGAAGAACACGGCTAGCTTAGTTTCAGATCGGAAAGCAGAAAACTGACAACTCATTATTCTCCTTGGCAGAACAGTAAATGTTTGCCAGACATGTGATATTTTTTGTCTTGTTTGTTGTTTCGAAGTGAACTAATTCAGACGGACAAAAGACGGAATGGGAGACTGTTTGAGATCTCCTAGTGGCCTATGTGTGCTTAGCTTGCGAAAAAAGACAACAAAAAAAGACTCACCAACGTAAAGGTTAACAGCGGCGAGCCCTCCTCTGCCCCTGTTCACAATCGAGGCATTAAAGTCAGTTTTAAAGACGACACCCACAGACTAAAGATGTAAAGATAAAGTAGAATAGAAGTATTTCGCCGTCGAGGTCCCGTCTGCCCTGCTCCGTCACTCCTTGTCCTCCTCGACTCGCCAGCTCTTAATTTTAGGTGAGCGGAAACACTCGCTGCTGTGAGAACTCTACAGGGCTGCCTGCCTCGCTTTCGGGCGGTCTCCATGGATACCTCTATAAAAGGGGCGGTCCTAAAGCTTATCATGGCGCTTCAAAATAAAAGCTCATGTGTTAGGTTTGGAGACAAAAGAATTCAAGAGCTAATCAACAAAATACAATACAACATAGAGATGTATTTATGGAAAAAAAAAATTGTATCTATGTACCAAGAAAATTTTAAATCACCTTATACACAACAGAAACAATGTCTTGAGTAAAATATTTAAGATGTTTAAAATATACATTATGATAATTATTATGAAGTTAAAAACAATATGGAATATGCCAAAACAGATTAACATGTTTATGTAAAATATTACTGAAGTAAACAGCTTTCATTGAAACTCAGAAAACCAGTTTCTGAGCTTTGCAACATAAACAACTGTAGCTAACAGGGCACAAACATTTTAAGCACAGAATGATGACATATACTCTAATAAATTAAATAAATGTTTCAGTATAATCTTTGCTTGAGGATCAAATTAAACCTACCAAAAACACATCCGTCTTTGTAAAAATTTCAGCTTTGATCCCACAAGAAAAAAAAATCCGCAATGATACTTCAGCATAGTTTTGAGTTTATTCTTCGGTAAGTTATACACGTTCTTCCTATTATTTTTTTACAGCTTCTTCAGATTCAAGACATGCTGTCCAGTGAGATACAATACCCCTTGATTAATTAAACTCAAAATGCCAGAGAAATTTCCAGACATGGTATCACATCTATCCAATGTAATAATAACATACATTAAATAGAATAGTGGTGTGAAATTACAAGAAACATTATTGCATGATATGGAATGCACATTAACCACCAAGTAAAGATTATGTAAAAATAAGTAGCACTGCAAGCTTATATGGGCCCTGTTTCTGCACAAATTCTAAATTCGCTTTATTCATTTCAGCTTTTTCTTGTCATGCTCCACACTCACCCTTATTCTGTCTTTGTATATGAAAAATTTATTTCTCATCCCCTGTCTCTTCCTTGTCATAGCATTGGTTTTGGAGCCCAGCAATAAAGCCGCCAGTGAGTAATGGGATTAGAGTCCAGATTAACACTGTGACTTCAGATGTCCTGTAAAGAACCTCTGTGATATAAATGCAGATCGATTCTGCGGAAAATCAACATGTAGTGGACCTGTATTTTTCAAATTAGCCAATCGAAATTAAAATATATTTAATATAATGTGTCAACTGTTATTGTAACTAGATCATCATACAAAACTAATTTTGCGTAAATTAGAGGGGTTTTTTGTTGTTGTTTTTTTTTTTAAATCAAACTTTGTTCCTATTTTTCTGGATTCCCAAGGATATTATTGGTTATGTTTCCCCAAATACTTTAAAAGTTAAAACCAAAAGCTACGGGGATCCCCTCACATTTTCCACGTGTGTCTATGCTGACATCTAGTGGTCATTGGTGGTTATTGCATTCACTATGCGGTTTCCGTTTCCACATTTATTTAAATAATACAATATTGGTAGTAATAAGTATTAGTGCTTTTTAAAAAAATTATTAAAACGTACGATTTTAGGAGAAAAAACAGTTAACAAATAAAAGAGGAAAGAAACAAAATTATACAGTCTTATAAGTCAAGAGAGTGATGGTTTCTTGTGATGATAAACAAATACAGGTAAGCTTGCTTTTACCTGTATTGGAACCTCAATATGTTTTTTTCTTGAATTGAATATTTTATGAACTGGGAATATCGAAAGATGAACACACTCATTAAGCATCCTAGCAGCAGATGGTGCTAGGATGGCACTGGTTCAACCCACTTTTCATTCCTGGTTCTGCAGGTGACAAGCGGGCTTCTTTGCTTTTACACAAGGTCTGAATTGTTGTTCTAGTTAAGCAACGAGGGGGGGAAATGTTAATATTTGTGCTAATTATCACCTGAATTAACACTTAATTCCTGCTTGTTAAAGTATGCGTGCAACAAATTTTATATTTCCCGTTTAAGATGAAAACAAAGAGAGGCTGATTTTTTTTAGTTGACATGTATATTTTGTGTTTTTAAAATGGGCTTATCTTAAAAAGTGATCCTTCCACGTACAGATTATTAATGACATCGGTTTAAATGAGAAAATTGATCAATTTTTACACACTTCTGTAGATAATTTACACCTAAGAAGATACTCATGTCACTTAAATGTGTAAAAATCACAAATAAATTCAAACTAGCTCATTAGGTTCTTGGCTTTTTCAATGGATTCAGTTTGCCAAGAGATTGTAACATGTTCTAATTATATAATGTTTACACATTTGGCAAAAATATGTGTATTAAATATGCACAGTTGTTCTTATTATTGATGAAGTTAAAGACATTGTTTTATGTCTGTTTGTAGTTTGGTTTTAGTGAGATCTGAATAATAATTTATCCAACATGTATGCAAATAATTACTGCATAACACCGGCTTACCACCGATTCATAATCTGTTAAATCATACTTTATTACATCAGCCTGTCCAGAGTCTACAGGTAGAAATTTTAATTTTTTTTGCTATAACCACCGACGTTTAGCATTTAATATCCAGGATATTTAGCGTCCTCGATTTTTTATTTAATCAAGAATAATGCTTAACGTTGTCCTTGATGTTTAACATTATTGCCAATATTTATCAGATGTCAAACTTCATCTCCAGAAAAGTTTCCTTTTGAGTTAAACATTGGAGATACAGTAAAACATTCCAGATACAGTAAACATCAGATGTAACCTTAAACATCAAGGACAATGTTATGCACTGGAGATAAAATTAAAAATTGGGGACAACATTAAACATCCTGAACAACTTGAAACATTGGAGATAACATTGTGCCCAATGTTTAATATTGTCTCTTTTTCTGTCATCTCAAAGGAATCTTCATGTCCAATCTTCACATTCAAAGACAAACTCAAAGGATTTTCTGGTTTTATTAATTTTTATTTTAACAGTTTGTGAGAGCAGCCCTGTAAAGAAATAAAAATGGTCACGTAATTCCCAGGAATGGAAGGGAGGCAGGATGGATGGATGAACAAAAGGAACCAGGAATGGATGAATGGAGTTCATCTGAGTCCGAAAGCAGCTTCTCATAAGGACGGTCTAGTTAAATCCTCATTTTCGTCTCGCCCAGCGGGAAAAGCTTGCGGCGTCTCCTCTCTTCCAGCGTCCATTGGCTCAGAGTGACGTAGAGACTCAAACTGAAGAGGTGAGGCCGTTTTCAGGCTGTTTGATCTCAAATCTCCCCCAGCACTGGCACCTCAGATGAAGAAGGCATTTAAATTTATTTTGGACATTTTATAGTATTAAATGTTCATTAGAATTTAAAGTTTATTGATCTCTGAAAATGTGCTTTTGCATCATTATGCTATGGCCACTATGTTATGGCAATAACTTCTGGGACAATTTATTGTCCAGCAAAATTTAGGTTGACGACTGTCACAATAAGTTCTGCTGGATGACAAATTGTCTGAGAAGTTATTACCACAAACGGTAAAATGGTAATGAGACAATTTTCGACTAATACAATGGATATAGCATAATAATGCAAGAACACATTCTCAAAGATCAAACTTTAAAAACCCAACTGAGAAGACCAAAGGGAAGAAGTCCTCTTCATTCTCAAACTTTAAATTCTAATAAACATTCAACACTGGAACTGGAAGACATTTAACATATCCTAAATAAATAAACAGAAACTACACAATAAAAGGAATTATGAAGTAAACCATTCCTTAAAGAACAATTTTGTTCACAAAGCACCAAACTGAAGACTTTATTCATGCAGTTTTTGGGAGAAACTGAGAAACAAATCATGCAAATGGAATTTGAGGACTGGAAGGCGACAGCAGGACATGTGCAGGTTGCAAGTCCAACCCTTTAACAACTCAAGAATGAAATAAATCACTTTTTAACACTGCACCAATTTTCTAAATTCATTAAAAGCAAAGTAAGCTTAAGCAATGCCTCCTACTGAGGATATAAGTGATGAGTAGAGAGGAAAAAACTTCCTTTTAAGAGGAAGACTTTCCAAAAAAAAAAAAAAAATAGGGGGGAAAGGCCAACACTGCACCAGTTATTTAAATTGATCAGCAGTTAAGTAAGCTAGATCATTGCCTCATATTGAGGATGCATGCAGTGACAGTGGAGAGGATAAATGTCCTTTTAATAGGAAGAACCCTCCAGCAGAACCAGAAGTTGGCTCTGTTTGAAAGACCATCTGTCACGACGCCCGGGGGATTTGAAAGGACAGAGTAAAGAAAGAGAGAAAAAGAAAATGCTGCTCCAAGAGTATTTCCATAGAAGAAATAGTTAGTTGCAGTAGAAGCTCCTTTGGTGGAAAAAAAGCAGTTATTTGCACCAAACGGCCCTCCAGCAGCTTACTCTAGGAGAGAAACTGGGTTAAAAACATAATCGACTGGGACAGGTCCCAGTCGATCCTCTCTTCAGCTGAAAACCTGCAAGATCTGGTGGATTACAGCGTGAACAAGACCTCTGTGACCTCCGGCTTGCAGCTCCAGGAGATCTCTCTGTTGTCCATCATCGTCCAGAAGAAATTAAAACGCATGACGAAATTCCACGAGAAATTGTTTCGGAGCAAAAATTAATCGGTTTTGACGTTTAAATTGTTGAACGTGAATTAAATTCACTCGACTTATTGAATTATTAAAGAATTCGTACAGTTAAAATAAGCAAAACAATATAAAGGTGGAAATTTTTAATTTAGGACACAGAGGCCATGAAGTGTTTGTACAATAAAGTACAAATATGTTTGTAAAGAGCTGCCTTAGATTACCTCTTCAGTCCAGTATGACGTAATAAATAGATTTTTCCTACTTATGAAAGAGATTTTCAGTCTTGGTACATTTTTTGTCCTCCACTTTTCATCTTATTTTTAACCTTTAAACAGAAGTTGGGCGGAAAAGCAGCCAAAATCATAAGATAATCCACAAAACAAAAAACGTACCGAAAAGTTGTAGATCTATTTACGCAAAACATAACAGAAAGGCTTGTG